CTTTACCTTCTCCAGTATCTAAGAGAACCCCAAAAAACCTCTAGGGAAAACTAGGGAATTGACTTTGGAGGAAAATAAGCATGAGAGGAAGTTCCTTTATTTTCCTGTTACTGTAATATTGTTTAGCATCAAGTAATTAACAGGGTTTGAAAAGGAAATGAGAACTTGGTGAAAGTGTCTTTAAACAGAGTAGGGAGGGGCTTGTAGATTTCCCCGGGGTTGTAGGTCCAGGATAGTGGAAGGAGGCAGTGTGCCCACAAGAACACCATAGAATACCGAAACGTCTGTGGGTTTGGCTGCATGGATGACCCACCCTTCCGTTTCCAACCCATCCCACCCCACTGGAAAGGTTTTACCATTTGACGCTCCTTTTGGAAGCCGATGTATAAATGATGTGTATGTCTGTTGCCATGACAACCCCACAGCAATGGGCTTGGGCTTCTTACCAGAGCGCAAATGTGCTCTTGAAATGATGCTTGTCAGAATTTGCCAGACTGTTTTCCCTCCTGGAATTCATACAAAAGGTTTTCAAGGTTCCCAACTGCACTTAGAAGAGAGACAGGCTGAAATTTAGCGCTTGGCTCCCTTGAATGATGAAGCTCAAAAGCTCTGCTCCCCTGCTGAAGTAATCGTGATCCAGTCTATCATTTTGGTGCTGTGGGGGCAACTCTGTGTAATTAAAGTGAAGAGTCACGTGTGCATGAAAAAAAATAATGATGATTACCGGAACTGAGGCTGTTGCTGACTTCCCATGTGACTCATAACCATCTCTGTGTTTAATAAAGGTATTGTTACTGCTGGGTTCTACTCCTACTCCAGCTCCTCAGAGCTCTGTGTAGGTGCCGGACCAAGAGGGGAAAATGAAAACCTCCACAATGCACGCTGGGAGCACAATCCCTCGGGCTCTTCTTGGCACATTTATTGGGTCCTGTTTTGTCTTTGTTCCTAGAGAGAAAATAGAGTCAACTCATGAACCTTTGGGCCAAGTTACAGGCAACTTTCAGTTATTTAGGAAAGAGCTTCCTAATGTAAAAAAATGGATTTGTCCTTCTTGTCCTTTTTGCCATCTGCCATGGGGCCCGCAACTCCCTCAGAGGGGAAGAGGAAGCAAAGCACATATCGGTGGATTGAACAGTTAGCAGTCATCAGGGGGTTTCAGGAAGATAGAAGCTCGTAAGTGAGGTGTGGGGATGATCAGAGGCTGGTGCGGACTCCAGCTCCAGCATGATGAGCAAGCTCTGCTGGACTCTGCAGAGATGACTTCTGTTAGCTACCTCCTTACCAAGCTGAGGGAGCTCAGCAAGTCAGAGGAACGACAGCTTCCCTCTATGTCTTTCTCTTAACCTTTCTGTCTCTCAAGAGGTGAGTGCTCTCGAAAGTTAGGTAGAGTCTGTCAACCCTTGGAAAGAAAGTTACCTACACTACCGATGTTAGACATGTCTTCAAGCAATCAGTTTCCTGCTTTTAAAAGACAAAGCTAGACTGCAATAATTCTCAGGATTTCTCTGAAAACTCTGTTTCCCTTAGGAATTCTGGAAAATATAAGCCCCCAGTCTTGCTTATTTAACAAACTAGGACTAAAATACACTACATTAAGCTCTAGGAATCATCCAAAAGCAAAAACAGAAATAAAAACCCACAAAACACAAAACACAAAGCAAAACAAAGAACACTGAGACGCCTTTCTGCTTCATATCTTTGGCCTGCTACCTTCAACCTGCCTCTCCCTGCATCTCTTTACCTAACTTCTCACTGTAGTTTTTAAAAATAAGATGCCAACAAAGGAACTGCACATTTCTAGCTGGAATTATTCACTTCCTTAAATTTCTTTCTCTTTTAGAAAGAAATCTAGCATGGAGTAGGAGGTTAAATTAGATGTACTCCAAGCCCCATTTCACCACTCTCTGAGCTGAAAATTTAATGTTAACTGCCCAAAAGAACCAGGGCCGAGACCACCTAGGTAGCGCTGGTCCTATGCTTGTGGTCTACAGTGGGTCTCAGCCCACAAATGTCTTGTGCATCCTACACACATAATTTCAATTTAACATTTTTGAGTTGCCAGCATTCAGAAATAATAACGCCTTTTGCATGAAAACTTTAGATGTCCAGCTGCTATGTTTGAAACCAGCAAGGGCTGAGGAGGGCGGGCTCGCATCCCCACATGGTAATGGTCCCCTGGAGCTTCTGAGGTTTTCCCCTCCGCTCTGCACAGGCCGCACCCCACTACAGGCTCACTCACCCCTTCCCCAGGGACAGGGAAGGGGCTGACACTTAATTTACTGACTGCTTGAGGACCACCTGCTGCCTGCCGACCACCACTGAAGACAAAAATCCCTGACCTGAGTATCACCCAATCAAAAGTTAGGGCTTCTTTTGGAGAATCTGTACTTACTTAATGATTTTTTTTAAAGAAACAAGAAAAGAAAAAAGCAATCTGAGCCTCAATGACAGCTCTTCAGTAGGTGGAATGCTATTTCTGCTTATTCTAATGAAAACCTCACCCTGTGCCAGAGAGCAGTCTGCAGCTGCTCACCTCTGGGGAGGAAAAGAAGTAAAATAAATCAAAGTAGCGCTACCTAACTGGATCACCTTCTGATAAGGGAACAAGAGGAGCTCACAGAGCCCTGCCACCTCCCAAGGGTCCCAGCTCTCAACACCAGAGCTTTGGAGACAAAGTTTCCAACACATGGAATTTGGAAAGCACATTCAAACCATAGGGCACACATGCACGTGCGTGTGCGCGTGCACACACACACACACACACACACAGGCCTGTGTGTGTACAGTACTCAGTTCCTAACATATATATGAAACCATGTAACCATTTCCATTGGCATTCCTGTCCTGCCTCTACTTCCCAGCTGCTGGATTCTGCCTTTTTAAGGAGTTATTGTTCAAAATAAGACAACAGAAAACACTTTGTAGAGGTGAAAAAATGAGGGATGAAATAAATGAATCTGTAACCTGCAAGGAGACTTGAGCAGGGTTCCAATTTGGAAGAACAGCCTCTCTGTCCTGTTATTCCAGGGAGCCAGGCTGAGGCGCCTTCCTGGCCTGTGCTCCTGCAGCTCCGATGCCCATGCCCAGCGTGGCACACATGGGAGCCCCCTGCAGGAGCCTGTCTTCCCGCTAGCCTGTGTTCCTTCAAGGCCTGAATTCAACTTCCTTCATTTTTGTATCTTATCCTAGCCAGTGTTTCTGAAAGTGCCAGACTTAGCAAGCACGCCAAAAAATGCTAGTCCAATAAATGTTTATTGAGCAAATGTGGAACAGAATCATTTTTTCCTTCTTCTCCTGCCATTTTGCTTGAAGTGTAATGTAACTGCTCACCTCCAGGATATACAAGATTGTACTTGGAAAGATAAAAATAAATTCTGAAGCTCCCAAAGCCCAGTTGCAGTGTGGAGATCTAATAGCACATGCACACACGCACATACACACACTCACACACATGCACACAAATGATCACAAAATCTAGCAACGAAAAATAAAAAGAATTCCAATCTCAACTTTAATTTCTTGGTGCACTTTAAAGGGATTAAACTATAATTTACCATAATATCTGTAAAATTTACTTCCATTTGGTTCTCCTTCAATTTTATTTACGAGTGTCCTCAATCTTCTTTTTTCTGAACTACTCTAGCTCTCTGCTGAAAGTTCTTTTATCACTACACTCTTCCAGGGTCCCCTGATCCTGCCTCATCCACTGTTGCTGTCAGTGTTCACCTATGTCCATACCCATCCAGCCTAGGGCAACAGAGAGCTGCACCCCCTTTGCACCTCAGTTGCTTGGAGAAATGTGGGTTCCCCCACCTCATCCAGTAATCATATGCTTTCCTTACTCTAACTTTCCGCCAGAAAGTACTCATGGAAAAATTCCAAAATTCTCCACTCTGTAAATGTTCCTTGTTATCTCAAGTTAGACAAAATTTATCAGAGAGCTTGGGAACTGCACTGCTATTTAAGACATCGTTTCTGTGGGAAAGTCTAGTATGCATTCCCAACAGCTGACTTACAAACAAGCTTTTGGGATACAACGTATTCATAAGCTCAAAACCATCTGGGTGTAACCAGGTTCATGGTTTCTTAATCTGTTTAGGAGCTCAGGGTTTTGAAAAAGTTCAATCAAAGTTAAAATTGGAAAAACATTTCCTATTTTCTACTAAGTCATTGGTATTTTTTGAACGTTGGGAGCTACAAGAAGTGAATATTTCTTCTTAAGATGACTTTTAATGGATCCAAAGTCTCTTTTATAACAGTCTGGATTATCTAGTATTGAACCAGAGGGAGGGGACAAGTGGATTCAAAGAAACAGAATTAAGACACTGTACATAGCTGAGAGCCAAAGAGGCACGCGGTAAAGAGTGCTGTTTCATCTGAGCTGCCACAAGGGAACAGATCTCTTGTTTTGGATATAGGTACTGGTCACAGAAGAGTCACACCTTTCTGCTGAGACTCACATCACTAGTGTTGGATGCCAAGAACAACAGGTTTCAACTAACAAAATCCCATGTATAAATATGAGCTCTGTGGATGGTTTCCCTTATCCTCTCTGAACTGGGGTCCGCGTTAGTAGGGACTAGAGCTCCCCTGAATTGAGTCTGAATCCACATTTTTTTTTAACAAATTAAAACTATGTCCCATTTTAGTAATTGCTAAAATATTTTAAGTAACTGAAATTCCCAAGGCTAGCAAAGTAAAGATGATATCTTTACTATGAATACTATTACATGACACAACATTTTAAAAACAATTTCAAAAACCATAAAGATATACATAAATTTTGATCAAGTTAACTCTATTTTAAGAAACTAGCCCTGAAATTTTTAGCTGAGTAGAAAGCTATATGCTTTATGATATTTCAGTAACACTAACATTAATTAGTACTTATTAAAAACTATACACTCGAATAACCACTGTACTAAGTACATTATTCCAGGGTTTTTCTTTATTTGAAAGAGAATAAAACTGAACAAAATAAAAAAGAATAATGCCAGTCAAACATAACAATGAAAGTGATACAGGACTTCAAAATAAGTTAATAGGAAATCAACAATGGCTTCCATAATGCCTTTTGTTTTCCTTATAATAGCTGCCCATATCATCAGACATAATAAAATCAAACAAAACAAAACAGAATAGAACCAATCAAAGCAAAACAATGAAAGCAATATGGGGCTTCAAAACTAGATCATAGGAACTCAACAATGGCATCCATAATATATCTTGTTATCTTCAAAATAGCTTCCCTTGCCATCAGACAAATAAAATCAAGCAAAACAAGACAGAATAAAACCAAACCAAACAAAATAAAACAATGGAAATACACAGGAATTCAAAATAAGAAAATAAGAAGTTAACAATGGCTACCACCTACTGCTTTTAGATGTTTCCTCTCCTATCTATTGCACATTTTGGATCCCACTAACCCCTTCAGTTTTTTGTGCTAAGGAGACAACATGATGTTCACCCATGTGAGTCCAAACCATTTTACCCATAAGCATGATCTCAAGTTGCATCTATTTACCAACAAGAGCCTAGAGATTATCCTTCTTTGTAGCAGAGTAGCTTTTCGTTGTATAACTATACCATACCTTTCTTATCCATTCTGTGGGTAATGGGTGAGCTGCTCTTGCTTTTTTCTGGTTTTTTGTAGCATGGAACATTGTCTTCTCTCCTTTAACTTTTGGTCTATGAATTTCCTTTGGCGTTAAATGTCTTTCTTGTATACACATATTGATGAATCTTGTTTCTTGATCCACTCTCCCTGTGTTTCTTTTTATTGGTGAATTGAGGCCATCTACATTAATGGTCACAATTGGCATGCACTGGCTCATCTCTACCATGTTATCCTCCTGCTGTTGGCCCTCTACTTTCTCCCTGCATTCTATTGCCTGCCCTGCTCATCAGTCCTCCTCTACTGCTGTTCCTGAAATCATAGTCATCTTTAGCTCTCTCTAGAATGTCCTTCAGCGTTTTTTTGTAGGGTTGGTTTGGATGTCATGGATCCCTTCAGTCATTCTTTATCACAGAAGTGTCTTATTTTCCCATCAATTTTGAAAGATAGTTTTTCAGGTACATCAATCTGGGTTGGAAGTTGATTTCTTTCAGGATTTGAAATACTTCACTCCAAGCTCTTCTTCATGATTTTTGTGATAAGTCTGCCTTGATTCTAATGGGTTTTCCTTTATAGGTGATCTGGTTTGTTTTTTCTCCAACAGCCTCTAATGTTCCTGTGCTGAATTTCTGGGATATTGACTATTACGTCTGGGTGTAGATTTATTTTGGTTATGGCTAGTTGGAGTTCTATATGCCTCATTTATCTGTATACCAGGTCTTTTCCCCATGTTTGGGAAGTTTTCTACAATTTCTTCTGTAAACAGTATTTTTATGTAATTTGTGTTGACCCCTGCTTTTTCACTGACATGTATCAGTCTTAAATTATTTTTCTTTGTGCTGTCTTGCAGCCTTTGAATTGTTATTTCCTGATTCCTTGCTATTTTTAACAGATCTTTATTTTCACAATCACTAACTGCAATCCTATCTCTAAGGACTGAAAGTCTATCTTCAATCCCTTGACTGCTTTCAATAAAGTTTTTAATTTCCTGGATATCTCTTTGAATCTGTTTCATGCACTGCAGTCCTTTCCTGTGTTGCTCATTAAATGTTTCCATCATTTTCCTATGCTACTCTTTTTTTCTTATCTATGTCTTCTTTAGATATGCTCAGCAATTCTTTCATTATGTTTCACATTTCTTCTTTTAGCTGAGATATTATTTCTGAGCTGATTACTTTTGCCGCCTCATGAAGTTGTTTCTTTCCTTCCCGTGCTATCCTTTCAGAGATTTCAGGGTGTGACTTCCATGTTACTCCATGACTGTATCTCCCAGACTCGTTCTGTGTGGGCTGGAGCTGTGAGATTGCCTCTTGTTCCTTCATCTTAATATTTTCCTAGATTCCTCCCAGCAAGCCAGTTGTGGGGTCCCAGGTGCTTCTCACTATTGGCTGCCCCTCTACAGTGTAGGGGAATGGACTAGGCACCTGGGTTTCTCCAAACCCAGGCTCCTAGAGAGGTAGTGGGGCATGGAGTGGGCTTCTCCAGACCTGTTCAGCTACACTGAGGCTTCCCTGATGGTAGTGGATGTGTGCTGGCAGGGCTGCTTCTTCTCTCATCCTGCATAGCTACACCAGGGCTCCCCCAGTGGTGGCAGGTACACAAGGATGTTTGTCTGATTCTCCTGGCCTGCACTAGCTGCCCACAGAAAACAAGCGTCTCCTGTGGGCACATGGGGCATGTCTGGCTGCTCCTCCCAGCCCACTCTGGCTGCTCACAGGAAGCAAGCATCCCAATGGTGACAGGTATGCAGGAGCAGGTCTGGTTGTTTCTCCTTGTCCATGCTGATTACCTTTTAGAAATTTCTTGAAGATCAAGCCACTACAGTGCTTTTTACTGAAGCAACTTGCAGACAGCCAGTGCCATCCACTCCATTCTGCTAGAGGAACAGCAGTAACATCCTGCTAAAACACCTGCGGGTGGCCTTGAATGCCTCCTCCAAAAGAATTTTGGGCTTTGACATAGGAAGACACTCATGCCAGGTCACATGAACTTCTGAGTCCATTCTTAACCAGCTGCAGGAACTCAAGAATGTCTCCCTGCCTTGATTTCTCCACACTCTTGGGGAAGGCAGCACTTCAGCACCACTGAGAACAGTGCTTCTTAGCCCTGGCTGTTGGTGGGATCTCTCTGGAAAATGTTCTCTCAAACACTGATGCCTGAGCCTGCTCCAGTAAGTTGAACAGTGTCTCCGAGGTGGGTGTGGCCAGCAGTGTTTCATGCCTGTAACCTCAGCAGTCTGGGAGACTGAGGTAGGAGATCATAAATTTGACCCAACTTGGACAACTTAGCAAGACCTATTTCAAAGGAAAAAATTAGTAAATTAATAGAGAGTGTTCCAGATCAACAGCTTACCATGTGGTGGAGATGTGTGTACTTGGGTGTATTGTGTGTGTGAACTGTAAAGTGTAACACAGTCGTGTCTTGGTGCCCACCCTCATGGCTTCCTCTGTTTGCATGGCATTGCTAATGACTGCTGGTATGCACAAATGGCTCTGCTTATCTGTGTCTGGGGACGCTGCGTCTTGAAGGCCCTGAGGACAAGAGCCACACTGTATCAGCCACTGTGCCCCAGTGCCCAGCCGTAGGAATGGAGAAAGCCAATGGGTTCCGGTGGAGTAAAAGGAAAGGTCACATCTTCCAAGGGAGCCTGCCCAGGACCTCCCAATGGGGCTGTCCTTGCTCCTGGGCCTTCAAATGATGACAGCTTTATAAGAACAGAGAGTGGTGGGGTAGGAAGCCCTAGGGACTGTGGGCATGCTCAGGGCCTGGAGGCGAGGGGTACAGTGTGGGATAAAATACTACGAGGGACCTTAAATGTCATACAAAGCAATTGGAACTTCATTCTCCAAATTGGAGAGCAGAGGATTCCAGGGATCTCTGCACAAGATAGTTCTGTCCCCGTGAGGCTTTGGAGAATCTGCCAAGTGCAGTGGCTAAGGTGGCCTGCAGGCAGTGAGGCAAACGTGGTGGGCTGTACAGGGGGACAGTGTAGGCCTGTACAGGTCTGGGACAAGAGACAGGACTGGGGCCAAGGGCACAGGACCTTCAAAGGTGGGACAGGTGTGTGAAGGACCCAGAGGTATGGCTGTACCCACTGTGACTTTGTTTTCTCTCCTCTCCCTTTAAGCTTCATTGAGAGTTGTAGAACAAGGCTCTTTTTTGTTTTTGGGTGAAGATCAGGCAGCTCATGACCTTTCTGGCGACCACAAGGCAAGTGCTCTAGTCTCTTTCAGTTGCATAAACAGGCTCCCTTAAAAATTACGATGTTCAGGTCTGGGAGGAGGGAAGCAGCGGGCGATTCCCCTCAGGTTCCATGTGACACATGCATCTCACTCTCCTCAACTGCTCTGTCACATCTCAGGAGTCCCTGGAAGCCCTCTTCCTTCCTGAGATCTGGGTATCAGGAAGACATCTGCAGCCTCTGTTTGCAGGGAATTCTCTTGGGTGAACAACCCACATCTCCCCCTCGTGACCCACACTACTCCAGGGAGATCCGAGTAGGTCCAGGGTCCAGGGCCCCACTCCCCCCAGGGAAGGACCCACACCCACCCCTGGCTTCCAGATCCTCAGAAGCAGACCTGGCCTGCAGACCCAGAGTGGACCAGGCATTAGAAATCCCTGTATCCCAAGAGTAGGAAGCGCAAAGCTCCCTAGTGGAAACTGGAAGTCTCTTTCATGAGATCAGAGTTAAGAAGTTGCACCTGTTCCCTCCCCTAAGCACGGGAATAGGAGACCCACAAATGCCACAGCTCCCGAGAGCCATTGCTTCACTCTCCCCTCACCAAATCCATTCTGCACTGTGGCCCACTTCTACCACAGATGTCAGAGAAGTGATTTTCTTTAGACACCTGACTCTCACTCATTTCTAGGTTTGGACTCTCTTGTGGCATTAGTGTCTTATTGCTGCCGTAACAAATTACCAAAGCTCAGGGCTTAGGACCACATAATTTTATTATATTACAGTCTCATAGGTCCGATGACCAAAATGGATATTATAAGACTGAAATCAAAGGCTCAGTTCCTCTGAAATTTCCAGGGGAGCCAGTTTGTCCACCTTTTCCAGTTTCTAAAGCCACCTTACCTTGCAGCCTCATCCTTTCAACTTCTGTCACTATCATCACATCTGCTGACTGACATCTACTCCCCCTCCAACACTCGTGATTCCATCAGACCCACCTGAATGATCCCTGGCAATGGCTGCATCTCAAAATCCTTAACTTACATCTGTGAAGTTCCTCCTATCTGAAAAGTTCCTTTGGCCATGTAAATTTCACAGGTACTAGGGGCTGGACTAAGGACCTCATTGGGGGGACTGTTATTCAGCTTGCTAGACTTGTCTTGGCAGCTCAGGCAGGAGCACTCCTGATGATATTTCTGCGGAATGTGTTGCCAGCACTGTTGGCTTTAGAGATGTGGTTAAGCAGGATGGGAAATAGGGTGGGAGAACAAGGAGGAGGTGGGGTTGGGTGGGGACTCGGGGGGCTCATGTGCTTATGTTGGAGGGATGGACATCTATAGGACACTTGCAAGAACAGATCTGGGACCTGACAGAGAGGATCAAGCCAAAGCCCTGGGCTGTCTAAGATCAGTGAGAAGGGAAGGAGAGAAGAGGCAGTGCACCACACACAGGCGTGTTTGGGGGGAGAGTAAGTTTAGAAAGCACAGGACTTGTAGAGAAGAAAAAAGGAAATGAAATGATCACAGAAGTAATTGCCTGCACATCTGCTAAGTGGAACTTACGCTTTGATTGTATCTTTTCCTCATGTGTAGAGGAAGAAACACTCCATTTATGTTTCCACCTCTCAGTGGGTCACTTTTACCATTTGTCAAGGGAAGGTCTGTCATTTACGAGTGCCCGCGGTAGACCTGACAGAAGGTCAGTGCTGGGGATGTGATGTGGGCCTGCAAGTCCTTCAGCTTCTGCAAAAGACAAGCAGGGTCACATAAATGCCTTGCTCTGTGGAGCCCACAGAGACACAGATGGGCTATCAGACCCAGCTTACCACACGGGCGTGTTATGTCTTCTGTTTATGGTGTTTTTCTTTACCTATTGAAATTTTTGAGATGTTGGTCATTTCTCTAGATATGTGAAGCAGACCAGAACAAATGCACAGCTACAGCAAGAAGCCCATGTCTTCGTAGGAAAAACAGTAGAAATTGGAAGTTAATCAGATAATTGCCGGGGCCCAACCACCTACTTACCTACCCACGGCCTAGGGTAGGGGGCCTGGAATCTGGGCTTACAGTCATGGCACAATGTGTTTATTTTGCTCTAAAGTAAAGTTCAGCCTGGCAAGAAAAAATAATCCAAGGTTGCGTGTTTCCTACTTACCAGCCCAGCTTGTGCTATATTCGAAGCTTTGTCTGGCCTCCTGCACCAAACGCCTCCTCTTCCTGATGCCAGAATTTTTAGAACTCCCGTGGCTGTCGTAGGCATTGTCAGAAACCTGTGCAAGGCCACTCAGTGGGACGGTCTGCACGCTGTGGAGCTGCCCCCAAGCTCAGTGATTCACCGGTGCTCAGGGACAAGGATGAACTGCAGGAGCTGGAACGGCAGCTCGAGGCCACTTCTCACGTGCGTTGTGATGAAGGCTTGCGATGATAAACAGAAAGGAGAGCCAGAAAGAGTTTGTGGATGTGAGGTGGTAGAAGAGGTTGGAAAGGCAGATGAAACCTTGACCAGAAAAATGTTATTTATTTGTCAAGGGAAAATTAGTAATTGTTTATGATCAATCTTTCCCTTTAAGTTCCAAACATTGCAGAAACCGGGGTGGAGGGGTGACTATGCCACTATTGGACGTGGTCTTAGCCCCATCAGGTGCTGCCTGGTTCCTAGCAGGTGCTCCATACATGTTTATTGAGTGAAAAATATGACAGGGTGGAGGCAGAACAGTGACATGAGAAACTGATTCTTCTAATAATGTATATTGGTGAATAGAAAAAGAAAAACTGAATTTACATATGCTTATGGTGTTTGTATGCATAGCAATTAGAAGTTATGCTAAGTGTTCTCATGTAACAATTTTCTGTTATAGTCTCATTTTACGTAATTAACCTTCATATTTAATAGAAATATCTTCATGTAAGAGCTAAACACCATAAAACCTGCAAAGAATAGGTAAATTTTACAACAGTTTTGTGCTGCAAGGGAAAGGTAAATTTCTTACCGATTTTTATGCTGCTCAGCATTCCAAGTGGCTTATTTTCTGACTGTTCTATTGTTTCCTCATCTGCAAGCATTTTTGAAGTGAACAAGTTAGGCCAGTGACCTTGGCAGAAGAGCTCTATTGTGTGAGAACTAAAGAAAAAGTCAAATTAAAGAGGAAAAGAAAAGGATGTGCTCTATCATGGCATATTTTTAGTTGGTGAAAAAAACATGATTATAGAGATTTTAAAGATTATAGAGTTTTAAAATCTTCTGGCTCTGTTTATGGCTAGGGATAATCTTTTAACTGATTGAGATGAGACAAAGACTTCTGATGCTTCTTTCCAATAAAAATTATAAACATTAGCTATTTGGGGATATTTACAATTTCGAAGGTAGGAAAGCCTGAGCACTAAATATCATGTGGTATAAATTCTACTTAGGTGGCTGTGACCTTGCAGATGAGTGGGGGTTTTGTCTAATTGATTTGTCATCTGCTGGAGAAACACTTTGAAGTGCATTTGGTTTGATTAAGGTCTAGGAATCCCCAGCCTGAACTTTTGGGGATGAAAATATCAGGACTTCCTTCAATCTCTGGGGTTAGAACAGGAGCAAGGAGTTTCTGTAGAAGTAGGCAATTAAAGTTGTATTGGCTCCACCAAAAAGGGAGTGGGCAGAGACATTTTCTAACTCCAAAGCTGTCAGCTATGGCTGGAGGGGGGAGGAAATTCACTAATAAATACCAGGATGCTGATATGAGGAGAGTGGGTGATAGTCATGGGGACTGCTTGGGTGTCTTCAGAGAATCAGGTTATTACTTGGGATATTAAAGATTTAAATAGTAATCTATTTATCTATTTCACATTTCTGTGACAAAACACCTGAACTTGGATACTTTATAAAGAAAAGAGGTTTACTTAGCTTAAAGTTCTAGAGGTCCAAGAGCAATAGCCTCCTGGATGTGTCACAACACAATGAAGAAGTACAAAGGGAACCAGTACATGCAGAAGGGGCAAAGTATGTGCAGTGGCCTTACTTTATAACAACCTGCTCTTAAGAGACCTAACTACTACAGAAGATCACCACTAACCCTTGAAAGGGTGCTGTCCCTGTGATTTAATTCCATCCCACTAATTGCTTTCTACTCTTGAAGCTTCCAACATTCCAACACTGTCATGTAGTTATGATCAAGCTTCCAGCCCAGGAACTTTGGAGGGACTCTCCACCCATAGCAGGTAGTTATACCAACCAAGAGCGTGGGGTGAAAATATTGGGATCCCGACACATGTACTGGGAAGGTTTTGGCTCCTTTGATTTATACACTCACACATAAACGTAAAATTAGGGAGACTGAGGCAAGGAACATCACTAACCTGATGTTAGTGATGTTAGTAGCACAGCTTCTCTTCAAAACAATGCATACACACTGCAAGCTCAGCCCTCAGTTTCTGCTCCACTCTGAGGTACACGGGCACTGAGTGGCTCCACGCACGGTGCGCTCTCTGGTTGGTGAGGTGCACAGGGGTGCCTGACACTGGCTGTCCTCCCTCTTGGCAGGAGCAAACCTGGACGAGAGGTATTGGGGAGAGGAAAGCCCAGCCTAAACTGGAGATGATTGGGCATGAGAGAGAATCTACTAATCCAAGCAGAACACAGAGCTGCTCTGGTACTGGGAGGGAGGCAGGTAGTGTGAGGTTTGAAGAGACTGTTTTTTTCTTGCACCGAAATATGCAGCATTTAGCCATGTGACTTTAGTTGTTGAAAGCCTATCCGAGCTCACTGACAAGTTTGTTCTTTCTCTTGCAGTTCTATCATTCAACAAACAGATCCTATCAGTAATTCTATTTTAATTTCCATCTTTCACTTCTTTTCATTGAGCCTGGGCATCATTGTGGTTTTAGCTATTTGTCAGCTCGGTGCTTCCTCAAAGTATTCAGTATTGCAAGTCTCAGGAGATGGAGACAAGAAACAGCACTCCTCACTGATTTCTACTGTTTCTCTTTTTTGCTCAAATCCCCTGGAAGTGTGCTTGTGTATGAGACTCACACAGTCCCACCTTGGCAGCCTCTATTTGTATGTTAGGTGTCTGGTGCCATAGCAAAGGAGATTATGGCAAATGGCCACACCTGCATGGAAGTTAGAACATTTTAAACATGTAAATTCAGAAATACTATTTAAACAAATACATATCTAAAGTTTGCAATTATCTGTTAGAAATATCCAAGATTGGAGAAGGTAACAAGTTAAGTTGAAGATATAAAAAATAAGGCTTGAAATGAGGGGTAACACCATCTTTTAGGAGATAATAATGATATATTAATTCTGAAAACTGATAGTTTATGCATAGCAAAGAGGAAAAGAGAGAAATAAAAAGTCAGTCTCTTACACTGTCAAGATCTGAAATTAAAATATATACCCTACATTTTCCTCCTCCATTGCTAAGTGATTGTTGTCGTGTTTTTAAAATGCATGTTCTAGCAAAGATTATCAGAAAGTTTAAAAAGACTCAACCCTTATAAAAGTCAAGAAGTGGCTCACCAATCATTGCTCTCTGCAGTCTAAATAAATATAAACATGTTCCATGCTTTAATCAACAAGTTCTCCATGGAATGTAAGACAAAATTGCCCAAATCATAGAAGATTCCCAGGAGCTACAATCATGTGGATTTCTTTAAGCCACTTTTGTACTTGAATCTTCTGCAAACTTCAAAAGCCATCACTGACATCTATGTCTGCTACGGATAAACCATGCAGGATGGCTGTTTAATTTTTCAGATTCAGCAGTGTTCAGGGGACTCTCACAATGACGTTCATGACAGGAAAGTTCCTGTGGTCAACAGCGTTTCGCTATGCCGAGTTCCTAATGGACATCCTAGCAGGTGGAGCTAGGTCTCTGTTCTAATTCCTGTCACAGGCCCTTGTGGCACAGAGTTGGATGTGATCCAGAAAGGAATAGAATGCTGTATGTCCGAAGGATGAGGTGGCTTCAAAGAGCACCCTTGCTTCTGTGGGTTCTTTGGCATTTGTGGGTTTTTTTTTGCATTTGTGTTTTTAAGGAAAAATGTGAAATACAGTTTTTATTTTCGTTGGTAAAGTGCTGAAGTCAAAAAGCATGAAATTGCATCCTGGGCCTTATTCCTACAACATCTTAAACATTATAATTATTAAAGATAAAAAATGAAGAAATACATACATATATTATATATATATGTATATATATATATATATATATATATATATATATATATACAAATTGGACGTATCTTTCTGCTGTATCTTTTAGGTGGTGGTACTAACTTTTATGGACTGAAATTCTAATAGCTGGAGGACACACTTTATGTTTTTGTGCCTCATTGTAGTATTCAATAAGAAAATATCCCATAGCAACTTCCTTATATGGTTATCCAAAACTTTAGGATAAGCTATGTCATAAATGCCATTTACTGAATATTTGAATCATACTTATGATCTAAGAAAAACTTTGGCATATTATATCTAATAGCCCTGACCTAACCTACTCTTATTTTGGAAATAAACTTTCATTGGAACTCAACCAAATCCCAGGAGTTTCAGCCGCACAAAGGCAGAACTGGGTAGTTGCATCAGAGATCTTTGTAGACGATGATTGTCGGACCCTTGATCTATGTTATTAAAATACTACAATATTGATCCACATATCACAAAAATACTATATCATGCTTTATAGTTGTGAAATATGTACCATTGTATGTATGCAAATAGGAATAGCTATACATAGCTCTACATAGCTTCCAGATGCACCTATGTGTGTAAGATACTTATACATAAATAAATGCATACATAAGTGCATTGGCATATTTATGGATTTGCCTGTATATGTGTGTGTGCATGGATGTGTATGTATGCACATGTGCAATTAACTGAATCCTCTAAGGTTACTGTAATTACACCTAAAAAAAATCAAGGCCAGCAGTCTACTTCCTGAATGATGCTAATTCTCCATCATGGAAATGGTAAATTATGCCTGACGAACACACAGCAATTATGTCTTCTGTGTCTTACTTTAATGGGTCAGTCTCTGGCAAAAAATAAAAATAAAAAACACTTTTACAAGAGTGTTTATTGCTCGGTACTGAAGTCAGTGTTTCTCTGCTGCTGGTGCAGGAGGCTGAGCAGCGATGCTGAGGCCCCAGAGTTACCCAGGGCAAGGAACCAAAAGATGAGCCAGCAGGAGAGAAAATGAGCAAAAACAGCACAGAAAAAAACAGAGGCTGACTCTGCCTACAGCAGAAATGACACAGCCCAATTTAAGTCTGGGGGAAGAAAAGTAGCATTTATTATAGATCAAAATGTAGAATACCCCTCCAGCCAGGCATTGGTACATTAATTTCATAACTAGTTATTTGAGCACTTGCTCTGTGTTGGACTGGACTAGGCTCAGGGGACACGGTAGGATGCAGTCCCCATCCTCAGTCCCATGAGAAGGAGATGAGAGATGAGTGAGAAGGTGAGTGCTGAGTGCCCCTCTGTGGCCAGCGCAGCAGAGTCCGGTGGTGCGGATGGGTCAGGAAAGGGCTTGTAGAGGAAGTGCTCTCTAACTGAAAGTCAAGTAAAAGTGAGAGTTGTACAAGCGAAAAGACACCAGTAAAGGGCTTCTAAGCAGAACCAACTTGTGCAAAGGACTACAATTGAGTGAGACCATAGGTTATAGCAGTGGTTCTGGACTCTGGGGCCAAGAAAACAGGGGGCATCATCCTGAAGTGGGCACATAGTGCAGATAAAGCCAGAAGCCTTTGGGTCAGCCCCTAAGCTTCTGGATCCACCCACATCCTCTTCTCTGACCAGCCTTTGCTGGAGCACTCAGATCAGACCATCTTTATCTAGTTTTACTGTTTCACTTATCATGTATTTATTTTCTAGATGAAACCAGAAAGATAAATAGGATAAATAGGAAGTAGGTAGGGAAAGACTTTGTGATAAATGGTATGGAAAAGTTGTAGAAAACACGAAAAGGGCTTTAAGCATTCTGTCATAGTCTGTTTCACACTACTATAACAGAATACCTAAGGCTGAGTGATTTATAAGGAACAGAGACTTTTTTCATAACAGTTCTGGAAACTAAAAGTCCAAGGTTGAGGGTCTGTACTGATGAAGACCTTCTTACAAGAAAGTAGAAAACCAGAGGCTTATGCATGCCTGAAGGGAGCAGTTGACTTTGCACTAGAAGAAATTCATTCTTTCAGTCACAGTATGGATCTAATACTTCTTCAATATGCCACCGTCAACCCTGTCACTTCATGGATCAAGTTTGCAGCACACAAATTTTGGGGGTCACATTTGTACTTTAACGTGTGAGAATAAAGGGGTTAGATTTTTGTGGTTCAGAAACATTGCTCTATTTGCAGATTTAAGATTAGTTTGCAGTGTTCAATCTACCATAGAAACATCTGGCTTTCTAGTTAACAAAAACATCATTAAGAGGAGTTGTTATTAACTTCATAAAAAGTGAGTCACAATCTAAAATCCTAGTAAATGAGAAACACATTTGTAAATAGGTGCTTATTTGTAGGTATGGTTGGTGGTAAAGTCCACTTTGCACAACTTGTCAAACCCCTCTCCTCAGATTTTTCAAGTGATTATTTGTTCATTCTCAAAGACTTATTTAAGCAAGTTGATGAACACATGGGGGGGTATAAATTATAAGGGCAACTGATTTCTGTCCAAAACACAAGAAAACAGATTGAGGAAGTTAAGAAAAAAAAACAAGTAGGCAGAAAAAAAGGAGACTTGGCAGTGTGAGAGTGGAGGCAGCCTTACATCTGCATATCCTTCCAGAGTGTGGCTGCCTCTGCCTCGGCCCCTCCCTGCTGCCGGTCACATTCCCAGGCCCCCTTCACTGTCTACTGAGCCAGCTGATTACTCCAAAGTGTCCAGTCTGCCTTTCCCCTACAGAGGGCTTCGTGGCCCCGCAATCTGAGCATGCACAAGAACCTCCCAGAGGCCTTGTTAGAACATGGTTATGAAATCAGGAGGTGTGGGGTGGGGCGTGAGCATATGCATTTCCAAAGTTGGTTGGGGATAAAACTTTGAGAACTGCTGCCCAGGACCAGTACTTGTTTCTCAGTCTTTAATGCACACCAATCACTCATGGGTCTCACTAAAGTACTACACCTAAGTCTACACCAGTGGTTCACGGTAGGTGATGGTTTCACTCCCAGGGGACATCTGGAAGTTCACATTGTTATACATGGTGAGTAGGAGGGTGCTTGTTGCTGCTGGAATGCAGGGCGTGGAGGACAGACATGCTTTGAAACATCTTGCAATGCAAAAGGTCTTCCCACAACTGAGAGTTCCCCAGCTCCAAATGTCACTGCTGTGACACTCCGGTGTGAACCATACAATTAAGAGCCCATGACCATTTGCAACTGCGCATGGCGAGTATACTGATTTCACTTTGAGAGCAAGATTTCATCCAACGTAGATCCTGAGGCCTCTCCTCTCTCCTCTCACCAAATCCCACCTCACCTCTAAGTGCCTAAAACAGTGTATACACCATAGTGAGTGCACAGCAAAAACTCCTTCCCAT